CCCCCCCCCCCCCCACCCCACCCCGCTCCGCCCCTGAAACCTCAAATCCTCAACCGGCATCCCGACTCTGCTAACTGCCGGGAAACCTCAATAATGCGAAGACCACAGTGGTCACATAGCTCCTGGGTGGCTGAAAAGGATTTGAGGTTTGGCCTTCGTTTCGGTTTAGGGTTTAGGCTTTTGTTTTCCTACTTCAGAGAATTGGCTTTCGGGGCGGATTTTGTGGGGATGTTTCAACAGCACTATGACGGAATGCCAGTACTGATCAAGTAGGTCTCGGGTATAGGTATACCCCTTAACCCACCAAACCTACTTTTTTGTAGGTTCCCTATAAATCCCATATGCGTTTATGATAAGAACCTACCAAAAAGTGGGTTTTGGTAGGCTAAGGTAGGGCTCATGCTTCCACAAAGTTGACGGATATTCCAAGGCTTTGGGTTTGGGATGTCCGGGATTCGGATTTCGAGTGTAGGGACTAGGGTTTAGGGTTTCAGGGTTTAGGGACTAGGGTTTAGGGTTTCAGGGTTTAGGGTTTCAGGGTTTAGGGTTTCAGGGTTTAGGGTTTCAGGGTTTAGGGTTAAGGGCTTTCAGGGTTTAGGGTTTACCTATAGTCTCCATTGTAGTATTTTTTGGTTTAACCAGATATGTACTAAGGATTTTATAAGGCATCCCCAAAAAAGGAACTACAAAGGAGACTATAGGTACAATGCTTTCGGCGCAAGTCCTGGGCGTTAGGGGTTTAAGGGTTTGGAGAACGCGCCGGGTTGAGAAATCAGAGGGCGTTCTGCTTCCAGGCTAAAGCTTCAGGGTTTACGGCTGTGCTTGACAGTAGGTTTGGGACATGGGGTTAAGGTTAACCTAGACCCCCAAATACCCTCTGTTCTAGGCCCTCATTACTTCAGAATGAGGAATATGTGACCCTTCAAGGAATGCTTGCCCTGGAAGGATGCTGGGTGTAGGGTACATGATGCAAGAGCTTCTTCATTATCCTTTCATGGGCCGATGATACGGACGTGGGCACAAGGGAATCACGTGGAAAGCGCTTTTGACCCACTACATTCCGCAAAAAAGTAAGCCCTCAAGAAGAGTTTCACTGAAACCTACGCCACAAACCAAGACTCGCATAATGACTCGGAAACAGATCGATCTGCAAAGGCTCGAGCTTCGACCCTCAACCCAACCCACCCAAAACCTTCTTGACACCCAAACACTAAACCATAAATCCTGCCTAGACCTAAGGCTCAAAATTCGCGCCCAAAAGCCCCGTACACTGTCCTAAGGCCAGAATACCAAACGGTATGTGGGGCAGTAAGGGTCTCTTCATAGTTAAAACCGGCTGTTGTGGCACACTCTAGAAGACTTATCCGAGGAATCAGAAGCAAGGGTATCCATTGAGGTTTCTATAACATAAGAGGAACCAGAAGAATGAGTATTTATTGAGGCCCTAAACCCTAAACCCTAAACCTTAAACCTTAAACCCCTAAACCCCTAAACCCCTAAACCCTAAACAGTCAGCGGGGGCAGCCGAAGCTCAAGAGGAGCAAGGCATACCAGGGGTCAACTCTGTCCACAATGGGACGGAACCGGGTCGGCCAAGACCCGGAAAAAGTCACCTTTTTAGAGGACAAAGTTGTTGAACTTCTTTTGTGTTTGGGGCTTTTGATTTGGCGGTTTAGGGTTGCGAATTTTGCATCTGAGGTTTCGGGTTAAGAGATGTTGGGAGTTTAGGCTTTTGTGGCTTTGGGTCTATGCCTAAGGGACAAGGCTTCGGGGCGAATTTTGCTTTGTGAGTTTTGCTGAGGGTTAATTCAGGGGCCGTAATAACTAGAATAGGGTTTTGGTGGTTTCTTATTGTGATTATAGTATCATGTACCCCCAACTCTATTCAAACTATTAATAAGGCCCGAACATTACGTGGATTGTCTACGGAGCACTACTTTTCGCAGGGCTTGTAGGGTTCGTAGAGCTTCTGAGGGTCTAAGGGTTCAGGGTTTAGTGGAGGATGGCGGGGATTTATCCCCATTATTAGACTATCTACACTTAGGGTTTAGGCTTTAGGTACCACACCACATGAAATGCCCTAAAACCTAAAGCCCTAGACCCTAAACCCTGAAAAACGCCCAAAGCCCTACGCCCTAAGCCCTATAAGCCCTAAGCCCTAAACAGCAAAACCTAAAACCCAAAGCTCTAAACCCTAACCAGTGAAGCCTAAAACCCAAAGCCCTAAACCCAAACCAGTGAAGCCTAAAACCCAAAGCCCTAAACC